TTTTTTTTTTTTTTTTATTCTCCTACTCCCCTGATCCGTAATACATGCCACTTCCGTGCTTCTCTCTTTCTCCCTCCCTCTCTCTCTCTCTCTCTCTCTCTCTCTCTCCCTCCCCGACACTTTGCCTTTTGTTCCGTTTCGTATCGAGAGGCATCGTATATTGTATCCTTGATACGGGAGTGACGCGTCAATCAACGCAACACTCCCTTCATCGTTGTCCGTGGTCGTTGTTCCTTCCTTGAACGATCGTCTCTCCATGATTCGCGCATGGATACGATTGCGATCGTTCGTTCGATCGAATGCTCTGTGATTTCGTTTTGTTTATTAATTTATTTATTCATTTATCTTTTCGAACGAGTAATTTTTCCTCTCCCTCCCAGAATGAATCAAGATTGCCGCGATCGATGATAAAAATGAAAGAAAGCGTGATATGGCGTTCGCTCTGGCGAATAATAAATACTCCCGTTCGAAAAGTTACAAGTTTCCGTTATCGGAAGCGGTTCGTCGTGTGTGAGGAAAAAAAAAAAAAAAAAAAAGAAAAAAAAAAAAGAAACCACAACCAAAAAAGCAGTAGTCCCAAAAAGCATTGTTACATGTATATATATATATATATATATATATATATATATACGAGGAAGAAAACCCCCGAAAAGCGGGATGAAGCTTTTTCAACGATCGTTGTTAACATTTCTATTTTTTTCCCCTCCATGTTAGACACGAAACGAGCACACCAACTCGCGCGACGGTACGATCGACGATCGAGTTGTTCGGATCCAAGTTATTTATTAACGTGGCATTTGCGAACGGATCGAGGGGCGAAACGATTTCGAAACGGTGCGATATCATCTCTCCGCTCCTCATCCCCCTTTTATCGCGAAAATTTTACCCCGAAAAATTTAAAATCACTCGCGATTCACCACGATCGTAACGTCGAATAATCGTTACGAAGTATATATATATATATTAACCCGAACGCAAATCGAATCCTCGATCCCATCGTCAACATCGAGAACCAGAGTCTGTCCACGGATGCGACGATACGTATATACGTTTAATATTTATTCGAAACGACTCGAACGAACTTTCCGCTTACTTACGCGTGATCGTGCGAGGAAAAGAGCGGAATTATTACTACTACTTTGATCGAAAGAGAGCCTATATAAATATATATATATATATGAAGTAAGATAAATAAGATCGAATCTGCTGACAGAAAATGGTATATATCGGATAGAGAAGCGTGACCCTCCACCATGTGTGCATTCAGAGAAACGTTCGTTCGATTTTTTAACATTACGCGGCGAGGAAAGAAATGGCGTTACTTTTTCTTTTCAATTTTTCTTTTTCTCGTTTTTGTTTTTTTTTTTTTTTTTTAATAATAGGCCGGCAGAAGAAGAGCGGATTATTTAGTATAACTACGATTATTATGATATAAGAAACAGCGTTACGAGATTATTATATACATGTACACAACCGTACGTGGTACAACCGTATTGTATCGTAATCTTGGATTTGATTTCTAGATTATTTTTTTCCCGGTTTCTCCGGATCTTTCCGACCATGGTTCGATTATTATCGTGTGCGAGCACCGCGTTAAGTAGCCAAAATGCCTGTTGTTGTTGTTGTTGTTGTTGTTGTTGTTGTAGTAGTTGTTGTTGTTGTTGTTGGACGTCGGATTTGGTACATACATGACTGACCTTCGACGTGTGGGTACGAAGGCTGGATTCTGTGGCGAAGCCTTTGCCGCAGATGTTGCAATGGAACGGCCGGTTCTTCGCCCGTTCCACCTGGGCGTCGTGATTTCGAAGGTGTTGCTGCAAATTCGATAATTGAATGAATGCCCGCCCGCAATCCGGTAGATGGCACTTGTACGGACGTTCACCTGAAACGAGAACAATTTTTTCCCTTTTTACTTCATTTTCCCAACTTTTCTCCCTTCCTTTCTTTCTTTCTTTCTTTCTTTCGTTCGTTTTCTTTTACGTCTCGTTAGGAGGTTCGATCGGATCGGACATCGTCATCGACGGTTCGATCCTCGGCCGAGAGAGGAAGAAAAAAAAAAAAAAAAAAAAAAAGGTCGAGTCTATACACGTGTGTAGTAGTAGGCAGAGTCTCGGTCGATCGGTAAAATGATAATTGGTATCGATGTCCGTGAAAGCGGTAATGGGTCTCGAATGGGCGATTAATTCGTTGAAAAACGCGTTTCGGAGCACGGGTACGAGACAACGGAGGTTGGTGGTCGAGTTTGCTTCTTTTTTTTTTTTTTCACGCGGGGGTGGGGTGGGGGACATGCAACAGGTATCAGCGGCCAGATTTAGGGATGAGCGTAAAAAATGCCACTCGTTTTAAAACGACCATTAGAGGCGAGATGTTTTAACAGCCCGTAACCGCCACCCTGATTTAAAACAATTAATAGGTATCTGCTTTTTTCGCGTATTTTTTTCCCTTCTCTCTCTCTCTCTCTCTCTCTCTCTCTTCTCCCTTCTCCTCCTATTCCCCTATTATTCGCGCGTTTTTCGATCGTTTTTGAACGATCGTGTTTTACTTTTTTTTTTCTTTTTTTCAACCGACGACGACGACGACGACGAGGAGGAGGAGGAGGAGGAGGAGGAGGAGGAGGAGGAGGATGACGAAAAAGTTTCGTCGCCAATTTGATTTACGCAATTACGCGAGCGATCGGGGTGGGAGAATAATTTTCGACGTAAACCGGGCTAATCAAGTATTTACGGGAATTCTTTGCCGAGTATTTAACAAACCGATTAATAATTAAATCGGTGGACGTTTAGCGGGGAAATATCTGTTGAAGCTTTTAATCTATTCTATATCGATTGGAGCGTTGAAGGAAGGGAATTTATACGATCCCTGCAATTTTTATTACGCTTTTTCGTTCCTCCACGGTTCACCACGGTCCTCCTCTATTCTAATTCCCACAAGCGATTGGCTCAATTTAACTTTTATTAATATCGACATTCTTCTCCTTCCCCGCTCCTTTTTACCCCGGCCACCGCTCCTTCTTTTTCCCTCCCTCCCTTCTTCTTCTCCTCACTCTTTTACTTCCGCTACGCTTCTTACTTCCTCCTCTATTCCGAGCCAGAAGATTCATCTTTTATTCAGCTCCGGTCGAAGTTTTAATAAAAATAACTCGATAACATCGACCGAGATTTTTAATAATCTCTCTCTCTCTCTCTCTCTCTCTCTCTCTGGGTTGTTATCTCGCTGACATTAGCTTTCCAACTCGAAACAAATAAAATTCTTCTCGGCGAGCCAATATAATGAAATCGAAGATAAAGATAAAATTGAATCGCCTTGAATCGGGATCTCGTAGTTTTATTCCCGAGAATATAAAAACTGGAGAGGGCGAGCGCGAGAGGATGAACGATAGAATTGTAAAAGTTATAAATACTATGTATATATATATAGTAGAAGAATGTTGGGATGTAATGGTTGGAGACATGGAATCGTAGAAATACGTATATATATATTATAAATATAGAGAAAAACGACTACGTAATCCGTCCCGATTGATAATATTTTTCGTCGCCGCGTAACGAAACGAAGCGCGGAACTTTTCAGTATCAGATTTATGCAGTGACCCGAGTGCCACTCGAACAGTTAAGATTAGTGGACGAGGGACGGACATGATCTCCCGATGAACTTCTCATCTGTCGCGCCAAACTTCTTCCACTGCGCTATGTGTATAATATTTTCTCCTTGTTACAACGTACGTGGCCAATTAATGCCACGATACGGGGAATAACGTGAAATTTATTTATTTACGGGATGTTGTACACGCGATGAATACATCACCACGTCAACCACGTTCTCGCCGTTTTATTTAACGGAATGAGAGAGAGAGAGAGAGAGGGAGAGAGAGAGAGAGAGAGAGAGAGAGAGAGAGAGAGAGAGAGAGGGAAGGGGAAAAGAAATTGGAAAGACGATGCAACAGCTACTGCGTATCCACAATGTGAGATTGGAAAACACGGTACGCATAACGCGTGGCAAAAGTTATAGCCAATACGTAAACTATTACTTTTACGAGCTTTACTTTATCATTTTTATAAGCTCGGCCAGGCGGCGTTTTACGAGAGGCGTTTATTTAGAAGCCGTGTACGCGCGCGTTAAATTTTATCGTGTTTGCATTTACTCGAAACACGCCTGTTTTACGCATCGCGTATGAATTTATCAATGATGCTTTCTTCCAACAACACGTGGACGCTTTTAATTTATGCGTACACGTATGGAAGTACGTATAACCACGGGGATACGCCCGCTCGTTCCGATCGCGATCCCCATTTATTTTTCCAAGCGAAAAAAAAAACGGTAACACGCGACACGCGACGATGGAAAAGAAGTTGCCCCGAAAAATCTTGATATTGGTCTCGTCTCGACGCTACGATTTCGAAACGGGTCGAGTTTAAATAGCGAGTTTAAAAGCAACGAGATCGCATCGAGATACGGGCGATCGCATCGAGACGATTATTATTATTATTACTATTATTATTATTATTATTATTATTATTATTATTATTATTAAAAATCGAGAGAATCGAATAAAATCGAATCCGTGTAATTCCGTGTCAATACGAGCGGAGAGGGATTCCTGTTTTTTTTGCCTTCGATCAACGTCGCACGATCTCTTTCACCGCGAAATAAAATTGATTTGTCGGTTAATCGCATTCAATTTGGTTAATCGGGGAAACGATAATTTCGAGGTTTTTTTCTTCGAAACACAGAGAAAGAGAGAGAGGGAGAGAAAGAGAGAAGGGAGGGGAATACCGATGATGGAACGGAGATGGATGCCGTTGTTTCGTATACATGTATCGGTATACATCGGTATACCATTCGTCCCGATGCTCTCTTTTTAATTCTCCCTCGATTTAATGCCTTTCCGTGTATCTCTCTCTTTCTCTCACTCTCTCGTGGCGACACTAAACACGCATCGACGTTAAATTTTGCTTGACGACCGTAATTCCCCGACGGTGTATAACGTCATTACATTCATCACCTACACTAGCACGGAATATCAAATGAGAGTGGCGATATATTTGATTATTTGTCAGTGGCGCGGTTTCGCAGGCGCGTGCATTCAACCTCTTATCCATCCCTCCCTCCAACCGTCCCGCTGGAAAACTCCCCCCGTGTTTTTCTACGCGAATTCGGCCGACCGATCGACAGGCCGCGTGCGCGCTTCCTTCTTTTTTTCCCGTTTTTTCGTTTCGCCCGATGCGCCTCGTCGTCCACTCGTCAAAATCACCGCCGAGCCCGGTGAAAAAATATAGATGGAAAACTCGGCGGAAAAAGGTGGGCGGCACGCGTGGTGGTTGAGTGGAACGTGTAACGGCGAAACAGTTCTCTCTCTCTCTCTCTCTCTCTCTCTCTCTCTCTCTCTCTCTCCACGCTTCTCTTTTCCTCCTCCTCTTTCTCTTCCTTTCTCCCTCTAACCCTCCTCGTACACACACACCCCCTCCCTCTTTGCAACCCTCTTGCCTCGTCCGTGGAAACGGCGAGCCCCCTCCGGCCTCTCTCGTACCACCGACCACCCAGCGGCCCTCCACGGCCCACTACACGTCCACGCCAGAAAATTAATGTCCCCTGCAATCCATGTATAATGCATTCGCATTTCGTTGAACGAACAAATGAACGCACCGCTAGAAAATTTACGTCCTATGTCTCTCTCTCTCTCTCTCTCCTCCCTTCGATTTCACGTTTCTCTTTCCCGTGTCTCTCCCTCGATTTCTATCTATTCTTCTTCGTTTCTCCCGTGAGATTTTGCGCGTGTGCAACAAGCCGGCCCTGACCAACCCGTCGTCGTTGCACGTATACACACGTATACACATATACGGCCCTCTCTTCCTCTTTGTCCTCTCTCGCTCCTCTCCTCTCCTCTCTTTCTCGCCGTTTTCCCCTTCCCATTCCAGTTGCCATCATCGAAATTCCGGCTGGAAATCATTAAATTGCACGCACTCATACGCACGTGCGTTGTGCTCGCACTGCGATGACCTCGTCTCTCCTCTCTCTCTTTCTCTCTTTCTCTCTCTCTCTCTTCTACTCGATGATGCTCGCCCGGCTATTCGTACGAGCGATACCTTGAATTTCGCGACAAGGGAGGGGGGAGAGAGAGAGCAAATACATATAGTTGCCGGGCAAAAATCGGGGATGAGAGATTGGCCGTGTGCTCGCCACCGATTGGAATGTTTGTATATCGCGATGATATTTGCCGAGTGCGCGCCCCCTTCTGTTCGAAATGATGATTCTTTTTTTCAACCCCCTTCTCCTATTTCATTCTTCCCCCTCTCCCGCTCTCTCTCTCTGGTTTTTCGATTCTTTATTATTATTATTATTATTATTATTTTTTTTTTTTCGTTTCATCGAACGAAGGAATTGGAGGGAATTGAAATGTTTTTTTTTTTTTTCCTCTCTCTTTTCTAACTCTTTCTGGAGCCTCTGCGTTTCTGCGCGAGAGAAATAGATCGAGAGTACAGTACGTTTGTTGCGAAAATTGGTATCGCGCTCGATTTCGCGAGAAGAAGAGGAAGAAGAGGGAGAGGAAGAGGAAGAAGAGATTCCGCGAGTAGGATCGGGGATGGTAGGATTGGATAGACGGGGAGGGGGGAGGGGCTAGTCTTGTCGTAGAAAATTTACGGTTGAACGGTGCAACGTTGATTACATTAACCTTGGTTTAATCGGAAAGTATTTCTGGAGGGATGATGTTACATCCATTTTCGTGCTAATTAAAGTGCGCTTATCCAGGATTTGTCCCTGGTTAAGCAGCCACCCGGTTTAAGAGTAATTTAACTTCGAATGTAGATGAAAAGCAAAGCACGACGTTGATCTCCGATAGATTCTATATTAATTCCCGCCCGTACGGGGGTAGGGAGGGGGAGG